CTCATTGATGTCCAACACAGGCTCATAGTGGTCATATTTGTGTACTATGTACACACTAGCCTCACCTAGTGAGTTGTTTGTTGAACTTAAAGGTGGATAGTTTATCCAACATCTTTTATCCCCGTAATCACAAAAGACAAAAACATTTGGTGTTTGTCATGGTTGAAAAGGCCCGAATTTCAACGTCAGTTCCGTATTCACCAGAGTTCCACATTTCGGTTCTGTTAAGATAAGCTGACAAGGATTCGTCTGCGTATCCTTCAAAAAGTTCACTATGTGTAAGCATAAATTCTACGACCGCCTGTCTCACTTCATTGAAGTAGCTTTGGACACCGGATACAATATAACTGTTCACACTGATACAGTTACTTACAAGTAAACATTCTTTTATGGTTCCAAGCCTATGCATTTTCCACGAAAAAACTACACATTGAATGTTTTCTTCGACAGACTGCAGGCAGTGGTGGGAATCTTGGCTGCCGTTCATGCGCTAACGGAAGGCGACAGTACGATGGTGACACTACGACAGTACGATGGTGACACTACGACAGTACGATGGTGACAGTACGACAGTACGATGGTGACACTACGACAGTACGATGGACTATCACCATCGTACTGTCGTGCATCGCCATCGTACTGTCGTACTGTCACCATCGTATTGTCGTACTGTCACCATCGTACTGTCATGCTTCGCGTTTTCCGTCCTCAGAGAAAACGCGATGGCCTAACAGTACACCGTACGAAGGACAATTCATGTTTGTTTTTAGGGGAGTAAGACTCTCGATTCATATATCAAGGAATAGGGGTTGGAATTGATGTCCTCGGAGTAAAGTAGCTTAAATATCATTGAATAGCTGCAGTTGATAAGCTGGGCACCATTTGACAGACGGGGTACACCATTATGTAAAGGTAATCTTAAAACAAGGTGGGTGCCAAATACTTTCTTCAATTTTCCAAACCTTAAATAACATATTTCACTTAAATTTTCACCGATGTATTAAAAATAAGATTAATTTTAAACTACAAAACAAAACACACAAAAATCAAGCCCCAACTTAGGATGCTGCGAAAATGGGATAAGAGTAAGGGACAGACACATAATTATGACATTTGCCGTCTGTATAGAGATATCATTTAATGTCAGCGAAATAAAAATGACTCATTTACGCTCGTTCATTAATGACCTGTTTCATGCGACGTCTCATAACTTCGATACCATACTTCGATTTTATTGCACGATTTTAATATATATTCCCCAAATGTTGCTGAACTGTATTTTTCATTTGTTTTACCTACATAAAGAACGATAAATTAGATTTAAAGGTAATGCAATATGTGGAAACAACGGACGGGCGCACCAACAGGCTATAAGTTTACCCATTAATGCGTTTTTGACGTTTCATACCTCCATGCACTTTAACCTTAAAACTTACATTCCAAATATCAAAAAAATTGGGGTCACTTTTCAACGTTGAATTACGACCCGGGGTCATTTTTCAACACCTTCACATTACTGATCAAAAATTAACGGGTGGGTCAAAATTCAACGTTGAGAATTGACCCGTGACCGTTGAGAAATGACCCAGGGTCAATTCTCAACGTTGAAAAATGACCCTCAGGGTCATTTCTCAACAGGGTCAAAATTTAATGTTACACCGGCATCACCTCGTATGAATGATACTTGCACAAACAACCATACTTTAGAACTTTTGGGCATTGCCATTGCCTGTTTATAAAATGATTACAACGCACACGGCGGTAGATTCGAATGCAACGCAGTGCGGTGGCCCCGATACCATTAATGTATATTTTGATGATTTGACTTGACGGAATACACTTTTTAATTGAGTACAACCCTTTTCTAAACTTGACAACTGAGACGTGTTTATTTGATGTTTTAACAAAAGGCCGAGAAGATGCGATTGGTGCGTTACCATGTTAAATATTCCAGTGCACGTAGGATAAATAGTCCAGCTCCCGGAGATAATTTTTGGGCCCGTCCCTATGTTTAACGTTTTATCGGGCCCCATTAATGTTAGAATGTGCTGGGTTTTCCAAGCCCCATGGTTTTTTTTGCTCCCAAACGGTTTTTACTTACCATCTTTGCTTATGGGTCTTTAAACCATCTTTAAAATTTTTGTAAAAACCAGCATAAAATTAATTGAAATAAAAGAAAAATAATACAAATAACAGGCCAAACCAGTTTCTAACTTAATTTTCTAATTCGCTTGCTCAAACGAAAATAAATTATTTATTCTCTTTAAAAGCTATATATATTGAGCATAATAAACAACGAGACATAATTAGGATTGGCCAATTGCATTGCTTTTATTATATCAGAAATACAGAAATAAATTCAAATATAAATCATTAATTGAACTTTGCCTCTTCTCACTCCATACTTGAATGAAAGCATCACCTGTTAAATATAACCAAAAATGAATATCCATCGAAATGAGCTTCTTTTTCTTTAAAACAATAACCTGATATGATACCAGTGTACTCAATCAAATTGTAGGGGTGGGAGGGATGGAATGGGAAAATAAACATGCGAATAAAGCAATGCAATTACCTCGAGTGATTTGAAAATACCTTTCGATACTTTATATAGAAATCTGATACGCTTAGTTGATGCACGAAAATCTCGTGCAACACAATGTTTACACAATTACTATATATTACAGCATAACTTAATAGCTCTACCAAGAATAAATACATTAATGTTTACTGTTTCCTACGAGGGGTGTTCAAATATGAATGCAACTAGGTCAATATTTCGCTTTTAACCATGTTTTGCACGAACTATGTACATGCATGTATCGCATAGATGGTTGTGTAAGCTCTCAATTGATACAATACATGTGTAAATCAGTTCAGTCTAGCTTTGACAATAGCTCGATTAACGCTATCTACTCGTGTATACTAAAGCTAAAATGGTTGGGAAAAGGTCTCCTTTCACTGACCAAATACGGTCCTATATCAAGAACCGCTGTATTCTTGGTATACAGGCGAAAGACATATTTAATGAAATATGTCGTGTTTATGGGAACAATGAACTTTCTTTTTCATCTGTCACACGGTGGTGTAAGAAATTTAAAAGTGGTGTGGATTCAGTAAAAGATGCACCTCATGCACGCCGTCCGAAAACTGCAACTTCGCCAAAAATGGTTGAAAAAGTAAAGGATTTGATTGCTACTGATGCAAGATTTACAACTAGGTATATAGCTAAATGCGTTGGTATCTCTGTAGGAGCCGCTCATACAATTCTCAGACGTGATTTAAAAATGAGAAGGATAAGTGTCAGATGGATATACCCTAAAAAAAGACCAAAAACTCGTTTGAGTAAGAATCTCCAAAACAATTGTTGAAACAGTTACTAAATATAACTATATATATATTAAAGTACTAAATACAACTAAATACAAAAATCGTTTTTTCGCAAATATCAGACGTGGGTTTTATGACTTTTATGAGCCCAAGCGAAAGATACACAACAAAACATTGGCAACCAAGGAAGTCAAAGACCTTGCATATCAAAACGTACCATGAGCGTCAAAAGTTCATGTATATCATGTATTTTCGTCCTGCTATTCAAATTGCCGTACCAAAGGGTGAATCTGTAAATGGGCAAGGTCCTTCATTAATTAAAGAAATATTTCAAAAACCTTCGACCAGCAACTGATCTCTGGTGTCTGGTTGTAGCATTACAATGCTTCTTCACACAAAGCGGCCATTGTACGAGAATATCTGAAACAGAAAAAGGTTGTCGAGCTTCCTCACCCACCTTCTTCGCCAGCTCTTGTCCTTGTGACTTCTCTCTATTACCGCTGCTCAAAAAACACCTTGCTGGAAGAAAATCTCGGTTCGCCTATTTCCCAGTATCTAACAGCACACCTCGAAATGATTATGGAACGCATTTAAAAATTGGATTAAAAGTATATTACATGATGGTGAATATTTCAAAGGATTGAGATAATTATTTTGGCACTGTTTGTGAAGCACTTCTGAAAATTAGCTCACTTGCATTCATATTTGAACACCCCTCGTATGACTGTGTTCGGAAACAGTATTTCAATCTCAAGGACCTCTGTGACTGAATGCTTAAAAGTATTTATAATTAGAACCATCTAACTCTCACCGCCTTAAGGTTCAAATCCCAACAGTTACTTTGGATTATTTTCATCTGTGGCAGCTAATTCCCGGGTGATTATTATCGGCGATTCAACTTCGGGTCAGAAATAATTTAAAAAGAAGCACTTGAGATTTTCGTCCACAAATTGTGTGACTTAAAAACCTAATAAAAAAATTGTAACAAGTTTTCGAAAATGTTCCGAGTTAATTAAGTTGTCCGAGTTTCTAATCAAAGAATAAAAATCAAATGAAATACACGAGAACCCAACACTAAGTCTTGATTAAATCAAATGTGATGTAAAATAAGTTGCGGCTCTAGATATGCCATCATCATAAAAGTTAGTGAATTCCTTTTACAAAAATGATAGATTTTACCATGCTTTAATAAGTAAAAAAAACAACAACAAAAAAAACAACAATAAAACAATCACCTGCTATTAGGCACAATAATGCATGACTAAATTGAGTCATGTCTATGTCGGTCTTATTTTCCTTTCTTTGTTTTTTAATCCAAATATAATTGTTCTTGTTATGAATAAATATTAACAGTTCTTAATTATTTTGCTGTTCCGAAACGGCAAGTGTTATAGCTGGTCCAGTGAATTTAAAAGGGCTAATTTCATGCTGTTTTCAGTCTTGTTACAAAAATATTTCATAAGCTTGTCATTTACGCATTTCACACATAACAGGCAGCATAAAAGACTGGTGATCTTTGTATCGTTAGAAAGGGAGTCTGCTTGTTTCGTTAAATATTCCATTGAAAAGACGACACATTGTTAACTTCATAAGATGTTTGAATGCTTTTGTATACATTATATATGTCTGTCTCTGCCATATTCCTTTTAAGAAACAAAACAACAAGAAAATAATACTATTTATGTTTTATTAATATAGCACATGTAGTATGTGTTTACAAAACTATAGCTACAGTATATATTATATAGCCAACCTGAGCAAAAAGTCATAACTTTTATAGGGTAACAAAACATCTAGTAAAATAAGGAATATAATTCATCTAGGGACATTGTAATAACCTTCAGTTGAGACTTTGAATAGTAAGAAACTATGCAGTTTAACTGTAATTAAAACATGATTGCTCTTTGTCCAAAAATTGGTACAATAGATTAATGAGTAATTTTTTTATTGGGACACTTGCTTACTATATTTGGATTTTGGGTAACTATCTATGAAATGTGTTTCTTGTGGGCACTACATATATGTATAATATGCATAATTATATTATACATGTATTTCAGCAATTATTTCAATGTATTGCAAATTGAAGAAAGTTCTGCTCATTTTCTTTATTTTTGTCCAAAAAATACATTTGCACTTAAAAATTTCTGCAATACATTTACAATTCATTTCGAGGTTTTAATTGTAGGACTTAAGTATAATTATGATATTGTAGAAAAATTGCACTGTATTAGTAAGTTATTAGTCATTCTTTAATGCACCATGTATGTAGCAATTAACATATTACCTATAATTAAACATCTGTTAATTATCTCCCTTGTTATTAAAATATACATGTACATCACCTTCTTAATGTACTCAATACCAACAAATGCCTAACAGGAAATAACAGAAAGAATCACTAACTTGATGGCCCCTTAAAATAATGCTTTTCTATTACTTAATACATCTTAGACTTGAAACAAAGGTCAGTTGTTTTTTGTTAAGTTTATCTTGGCTTTAGTGATCAGCAAGAGGACTGAGCTAAAGTGACAGCTATAGACAGGTGACCACTACATACAGGTTGACATAGATATAGTTATATATTATGAAAAAAAATATGGCTTTCTATGGAAGTATTATGTTGAAATATATTCATTTTTTATTACAAAAGCAGGTAGTGCTTCAATTTACACAATACGATGTGCAAGATAAAAAAAAAACAACTGTTATTTCTGTTGTAAAATAGTTATAACCATTATGGAAATTCTCTTCATTACACACATATTTAACCCTTCACCTGCTATATTTCTATAATGGATCAGTCCAGCTTTGAATTTGAAACAGTCCATTCAAAGGTGAAGGGGATTTCAATATCAAAATACAAAAATTGAGCTGCCAACAGTATAGAGTCTGGTCAGACTGCATGGAAGTGCAGGCTAACCCGGCTGTATACTGGTGGCAAAGGCTTATCACTTTTGGTTCCAGCAGGTGAAGGGTTAATATAAATGAAAATATAAAATCATTTATATTAACATAAAAATGAGGAATTGAACTGCTTGTTTGCCATTAACTTGCCATTCATCTCATGATTTAAAGAATCTTACAGATGTCAAAGGCTCATTATTTACAGTCAAACCTGTAAAAAAAGGCCATCTAAAGCAAATACTAAACATGACCTTTATAGACATGTGGTCTTTATTTGGATGTTACTCGGTTCTTTTGAATAAAAAAAGAATTTTTGATGAGTGGTCTTTATTAACACTGTGATCTTAAAATCAGAAGTGGTCTTTAAAACAGGTTTTACTGTAACAATTTCCTAGCATATTTTAGTGTAAGTTTATATAAAATGATTGCTAGTGTAAAATGCCATATAAACAATACAGTTAGATATAAAAATACATGATGCAACAGATATAAAAATACATGATGCAACATATTTATTAGGGTTTTGTTTATTTAGAAATATAAGTATAATAAATATATTATAGAATGAATGGGAATATCATATGAAAGTGCAAAAAAAACAACAACAACAAAAAACCATCTTACACCAGCAGAGCACCAAAAGCAACACACCATTAAAATAAAAAACTGAAACTAGTTTTTGGTAATTAATAAGCATTCAACATTTGTTGTTTTTATAAACATAAACTAAATAAATTAAGAAACAGTCAAACCAGAAATATAAATGTTAAGTGGCAATCCTCCAGTTGAGCAGAATAAATCTTTTAAGTAAAAAAAACTTCAAGAAAAAGACATCTATATTTTAAGATATGTATTAATTTTCAGAATAAATTGAATAAAGGTGAGACTTTGAATGTCGTAAAATATTGTTAGTTTTATCATTAAAATTGTACCCCTTTACTAATTGAGTAAGGTAAATTTCTTCAGAATAAATTAGGACAATTTCTGCATATTTTGACCAATTAATAAAAGCAACTGCCTTTGTCTAAATTAAATCACTTAATAAGTAAACAGTTCTACTCCTTTAAACAATTTTTTTTTAAGTTTTCATAAATATTACAACAAAATCTGGAGGAGTGCAAATTAAAAAATAGAACAATTCTTTAAAATTATTGTCAAATAACACAACACAAAATAAATAGTTTTTATATGTTAAACAGAAACAAAAACAAAAAATGTATTCTGAAAGTAACATCTGTTTACAACCCTATCAAAGAATAATCCCCAACTGTCCAAAATTTGTTCACTTGCAAAAAAGCCATTCTTTCAGTCCTGCCTTCTTCAGTTAAAGCTGATAACAAAATGTCATATCAAATAAAAAAAACTTGTAAATGACAAAACATCCAAAGAACAAAGACATAAATACTAAATTTACAACGAATGAAAATTAAAGGCACATGATGCTTCAGAAATGATTTTTTTTTTCTTCTTTAGAAAGGGCAAACATGAGTTTTACAACATTTAAATAAGGGTTTAAGGGCATGTTAGTTGCTCATCCCCTGAGAAAAGTAGTGCTCAATGTGAAATTGTCATAAAAGTAGGATAATGTAAACAAAGTAGTATTCCGACTTCCATACAAAATACTCAATCACTTTAACTGAACTGATTGTCAAAAGGTAATAGATACAAAAAATAAATCAGGTAATTTGTAAATGACTAACTTTTTGAAAACTAGAACAGGATGCCAAAAAACGAAGACAATTTTGAAAAACGAAAAAAAAGGCTTTTCTGAGGCATAATGGGCCTTTAAAGTAACAAAATATATTGAAGTACATGTCTGTCGTATCATAAATATTGCATTAATCACAAACATCGACACAAAAAAAAAAAGTTTTTTTTTAAGATACAGAAAACATTAGATTGATACAATCTACACTAAATATAGAATTTCTAAAATGTTTAATGTACCAAATCTATACACAGTTAATTCATTGACAAAATAAAGGACAGATTGAGCAAACTCAAAATAAATATTTTAATATTTAGAAAATGAAATGAAAGAATTCATAGAGGTAAAAGACTTAAAGATATACTAGGCTCAAATTTGATATTAGAAAGTATTGGTAATTGCTACACAGCCTCTTTGTAAGTATAAAATAAACATGTTTTGACTTGATACAAAGTAGATATGTTTAAAATTCTACATGTTATAGGTGGTCACAATATCAATATATAGTGTTGTATAAAAAAAACTGGCATTTTAAAAAATAGAAGACCAACCAGTAATTGGAAATGCACCTTCCAATACATAGCTTATTAATTATTGTCTTCAACATAGATATATTCAGTAAAAATTTCATAGATTTCAGTAAATTTCTGTGCTTAAAATATTTTACTTAAGGATGAGCATAGTATATCTTTAAGAAAAGAAAGTTCACATCAAATGGTAAATCAACACTAAGTATCATTTCAATCAACTTTTTCACCTCTAGAAGAAAATTTCTATTTCACATATCATATTAGTAATCAAATGTCATATCCTGCATATTTTTGTAAACCAACTTTTTTTCTTCTTTTATTCTACAAGAATTATAGTAATGCTATGTTATATATAAGTATAATACATATAACTGCCAAATTTAATCAGATTCTTACATAATTTTACCCATTAGAAATGACAGAACAGCTTTTTTTGACTTATTTTCAATTCCAGATGAATAAATAATAAATAAGAAAGCAGTGACAGAAATGTTATAACGCAAATACAAAAATTAATATATTAATATTTTTGGATAGAGGCATAATGTACATTTTTTAGATGTTACATATATATACATTTATATACATGTACATATACATGTGTATATGTGTTCTATCAATAATGCTACCCTGAATATATATGTACCTTACATATAACAAGAGGGCCATAATGGACCTAAATCGCTCATCCTAGTCCTATAAAGGTGCATAAATTTATTTTGAAATTTGTAAGATTATCAGTTTTGTACACAGAAGCTGTTCCCTAAAATATCCATTTTTTTCACCTTTTAGGGGCCATAACTCTGTATAAAATCTTGGCCTTTTCTTTACAGTGATTATCATTTATTTATTTATTTCTTTATTAGTGATACAAGTTCTGTGTAAGTTTGGTAAAAAAAATAATTGTTATCAACCAGACAAGAAGTTGTTCATACACTCATGGATGACGGACATCAACTGGTCACTAACTCACCATCACTATACAGAAGTTTGGTAGGCTAAAATCTAAAGCTAGGCACAATGTTAATATATCATATTATATCAAAATATAACTCACAAAATATTCTTACAACATCTATAACACTGAGCACAAAATGGTAAAAACTTCAAGTATGAAACCATCTAAATAATTTTTAAAAAATAGGCAATAATAATGAAATGTATGTCAAAAATAGACATGCTTGTCCATGCCATAATTTGGTACTATATCTGCCAATGTGAAAATGCTAAGATAAAAATACAAGTTTTGAATGGTGCAACGTTTATTTTTTTGTTTTGTTTTTTAAAAATCTGCCCCGATGAATAACCATGAGTAATGATAAAATCACATCTAGTGGTTAAGTATCACAAACTAACCTAAAAACTGCATCCGATCACCTTCCAATTCCTTTCCAAAGGCATTGGCTTTGAAGGCAAATGTTTTCTTATTTTACCTAAAGATCCCATGACAAATAAAATAATACGAAATAGCATTTCTGCCCCAATACCTCAATCTGTGACCTTGACCGTGGATAAAATATGACCTTGACCTTGAAAATACCCATGAGTCATCATGTCAAAAAAATTTATTCTGTGTTCTAGATTAGACCCAAAGGATAAAAGAGATTGTCATATGGTTATTAGCTGCATATCAAATGTCTATACCATTATAAGATTCATTTCTAGACTACATGTACTAAAACACCCTATACCATACATGAACATCTATAAAAGGGGCAGTTAATGAGAGCATATTTTATACCAACTATTGAGATGACAAAATAATCTGACAAAATAATCTGATATCATAAACACAAAGAAACATCTACAGAAAATAACCTGTACATATTTTTAGGAAGAAATATAAAAGTATAAAATATATCAGATCATATTACACTCATAGAAGTATGAAATTTTCACCTTCACAATGACACTTATATAACAAAATTGAAGCTAGTACTGAATACCTTTGCACCTTAAACACAATCATCATGTAAAACTAAACATATTCACTACTTTCTTATGTGAAAGGATGATAAGTGAAGCCTGACCAGGACTCAAACATGGGACCTTCAGAATATGTACCACAGCTTTACGGCTTGAGCTATCTGGCTACTTACACATTCCCTCCGTTAATAAAAGAACAGTTCTAAACTCCCCTGCTTCATTCAAAAATCATCCTTGAATTTTTAATGGGACAGACAACATTCTGAATCGACTTGGAGCCTTATGCAGTCACGGTCCCCCATTGGGCAATAAACGTCAAACACGGTAAGAAAAACACCATAATCTGCATCACTAAAGACTCCGCTATCTATCTTCCAGCTGATCCTATTTTCTACCCCTAAGGGACTCAACTGAGATTTTTTTGACATGGCGGGACTGAAAATATTTTTCCGAGATCTGGGTAGGAATTGATTTAGATCTTATCCATCCACTTGTGTGCAAATTTTCAACTCATCCCCTCATCCTGTTTTTCCAGAATAATAATTTTTGATGTGAAAAATGGCCCAAAAATGAAAAAAGGTTGCTACATTTTTCACTCAAATCCAACTAAAAATCTTATAAAAATCAAATTTCAATCAAACTCTAGTATATTTGTTTGTTTTCCTTTGCATATTTTTCCTTTTTAAGTGCTTCACTTAATATTTGTAAGATTATCAAATTTGGTGTTTTTTATGCCTTTGAACCTCAGTGGAGTTCCTTTAACAGTTACAAATTTCTTACAACCAATTATTTAACTTTTCACTTTAATGAGAGCATATTTTATACCAACTATTGAGATGACAAAATAATCTGACAAAATAATCTGATATCATAAACACAAAGAAACATCTACAGAAAATAACCTGTACATATTTTTAGGAAGAAATATAAAAGTATAAAATATATCAGATCATATTACACTCATAGAAGTATGAAATTTTCACCTTCACAATGACACTTATATAACAAAATTGAAGCTAGTACTGAATACCTTTGCACCTTAAACACAATCCTCATGTAAAAACTAAACATATTCACTACTTTCTTATGTGAAAGGATGATAAGTGAAGCCTGAACGGACTCAAACATGGGACCTTCAGAATACGCACCACAGCTTTACCAATTGAGCTATCTGGCTGCTTACACATTCTCTCTGTAATAAATAAACAGTTCTAGACAGTGACATACTCCCCTGCTACCTAAAAATTCATCCTTGAATTTGTAATGGACAGACAACAATCAGAATTGACTTGGAGCCTTATGCAGTCACGGTCCCCCATTGGGCAACAAACATCAAACACGGTAAGAAAAACACCATTCTGCATCACTAAAGACTCCGCTATCTATCTTCCAGCTGATCCTATTTTCTACCCCTAAGGGACTCAACTGAGATTTTTTTGACATGGCGGGACTGAAAATATTTTTCCGAGATCTGGGTAGGAATTGATTTAGATCTTATCCATCCACTTGTGTGCAAATTTTCAACTCATCCCCTCATCCTGTTTTTCCAGAATAATAATTTTTGATGTGAAAAATGGCCCAAAAATGAAAAAAGGTTGCTACATTTTTCACTCAAATCCAACTAAAAATCTTATAAAAATCAAATTTCAATAAAATTCTAGTATATTTGTTTGCTTTCATTTGCAGATTTTCCATTTTAAGTGCTCCACTTGATATTTGGAAGATTATCAAAATTTGGTGTTTTTTATGCCTTTGAACCTCAGTGGAATTTCTTTAACAGTTACAAATTTCTTACAACCGGTTATTTATCTTTCAACTTTAAATGCTTGCTTACTGTATGGTTGGTTAGTATGCTTTGATTTTAAACTTGTAGAAAAAACAAACTAAGTACAATATTTTCTAAAGAGAAAATTCTGATTATAACAATAAACTGTTAATATATTTAAACCACAACACAGAACATGTACTTTTAAGTACATTAAATAGTTTGGCACCAAATTGCTTTGCATTTCTCACAACTGTTTTGATCATACATAAATTCATTCTTTTACTTTAGTTTTCTTTGCTTATCAATTATCAATTCCTTTTTGCAGTTATCAAATCTATGTAATATCAAATAAACACTGGTTTTAAAAATTTCACAACAAGGTTGATACTACGTCCAGTATGACCAAAAAAACACAGAATTTCAACCTTCCAGATTGTAATTATTTTTAAAACACCAAGAAATTTTGCATGATAGGAAATATATATTTAGATGTTACATATATAATATAACATTTAAAAGTAGTTTGACATACTACATACAACTAAACTATAGTCTATTTCCTCCCCACTATAGATTTAACTATTGTACACTATGTATAAAAGTTTATTCTGTTTTAGGCCTCGCCTCCTTCAGCTCCTCAGCGTGGAACAAAGCCTGTTTGGCGAGGTATTTTTCACGTAACATTTGCATCTTCACCTGGTATGGCATGTCCGGTATTAGATACATCACCAGCCATGTAAGGAACACAATCAAATTCTGAAATGTACAAAAATGATTATCTTTTTATTTGTTGGCCTATCTTTGTAGCTTAAAACGGAGAGCACTGGGTTTGTAATCCAGTGGTCGCGGTTCAGGGAGCATAATAAATGTTCTTATCTTTTGACTAATCTCGTAGACAGATAAATGATATTTGAACAATGCTTGAGAAGTTTGGGTTAACTACTAACAGCTGCAAAGATTAAATGATTATGTCTTTTAAAGATATTCTGGAAGTAAAAATGTACAATGGAAAAATTCACACATATAATAACCATCCTTGTTTTCTATAAAGGACTACAAACTTTGAGACTGTTCATTGCTAATTCAATGGGATTTTGATACAAAAATACTAAAGTAAATAAGCCAAAAATATAGAGTCAAACTGTTCTAATGTGCAGGCTGGCCTGACTCTATACTGTGGTATAAGCATATCATTATACCTGATAACATTCAAAGAGATAATTACAGAAGTCTTTATTTTATTTTTTTTTTGGTTGGGTTTTATGTTGCACCAACACAGTATAGGTCATAATTACGGCAACTTTCCAGCTTTACTGGTGGAGGAAGACCTTATGTGCCCTTCCATGCATTATTTAAGGCACAAATGGGGACATGAGTAGAGCCACTGGCGATTCCGTAAGCTAAGCTGGATAGCTTCCACACATGATAAAGTCCAAATTTTCTGTCGTAATTCAAACCCAAAGCCTTGAGGGGCAAGTAGATTGAAGTCAACGACCTTAGCCACACAACCACAGACATCCCTACAGAAGTCTTTAGACAAATATACATTATAAAATTACCTCAAACACAACGACAAACGCGAGTCTAGCAGCAAACACGTGCCAAAATGCCATGGTATACTCATACTCGCCTTCGACTCCAGGTGGTTTTCTGAATGCTCGATACCTTAAATAAATCATAATGATCCCTATAACAAGTTGAATATTTAAACAATAATTGAATAAAATTATTCTATTTATCTTAAGATACGTACATCCGTCCCATACTGATCTTTTTTTAATCGGGTCAACAGCCCAAGTTTCAGTTAGGAATTCTTGAGTAATACAAAGCCAAGAATACCTCTCTGTTCTTCCTCTATAAAAACATGACAGCATTGGTTTTAACATTAAACATGGAGTTTAAACAGCAGAGTAAAGGTAATATGGCATCTTCCCAATTTAACTGGTGAAAGAGTACCTCTGGGCAAGATAAAAGTTGGAATTTGATTAGAACTACTTAAAGTTAGCTGAATATCTTCCTGTCACAAAACAATTTTTAAAAGACAAGACCTGCACCCACTTGTCTGAGAGAACCAGCATTTCATCACTATATATATTATAGTGCAGTAACGGGTTAACTCCTATTAAATTATATAAGGAGATGACCCATTACTGCACTTAGGTGATGATTTATTGAAAACAAGAGGGCCATGATGGCCCTGAAGTCGCTCACCTGTATATAGCCTCCCCCCCCCCCTCCCCCGGCAGGGCCAATTTTAGCCCAAGGGCTTTTTATTTGAACAAACTTGGTAGACACCCATAAGAAGATGTTTCATGCTAAACATCTTAGCTCTAGCTCATTGGGTTTCTTAAAAGAAGATTTTTTAAAGTTTTTACTATTCACATACAGTTAATAAATGAAATCCCTGGGGCGGGGCCAGTTTTGACCCAAGGGCTTTTATTTGAACAAACTTTGTAGACACTTACTAGAAGATGTTTCATGCTTAATATCTAAACTCTAGCTATTTGGGTTTTTTCAAAGAAGAATTTTAAGTTTTTGCTATACACATATAAGGAAAATCAATGACCCCCGGGGCGGGGCCAATTTTGACCCAAGTGCTTTTATTTGAACAATCTTGGTAGACACTCATTAGAAGATGTTTCATGCTAAATATCTTAGCTCTAGCTCTTTGGGTACTTTAAAAAAAGATTTTTTAAGTTTTTACTATATGCATATAGGGAAAATCAATGACCCCCTGTGGCGGGGCCAATTTTGACCCCAGGGCTTTTATTTGAACAAACTTGGTAGACACTCACTAGAAAATGTTTCATGCCAAATATCTAAGCTCTAGCTCTTACAGTTTTTTAAAGGAAGATATTTAAAGTTTTTTCTTTCAGTTGCCATGGCAACCAGAGTTCTGCATGGAATTAAATTCTTTGAACAAATTTTTAAGGTGACCACCAAAGGAACATCACTGTGAAGTTTGGATGAAATTGGCTTAGTGGTTTATGAGGAGATGTCATTTACAGTAAAAGTTAACGGACGGACGCCGGACGGACGCCGGACGAAAAGCGATCACAAAAGCTCACCCTGTCACTTTGTGACAGGTGAGCTAAAAATAAACCAGTAGAAAGAAAAATGTTACCAGCATTCCGTGACGTTCGTTCCGAACTGTGGTTCTATTTCATCCGGAAGACCATCTTCATCAAAGTCTGCGGTGTTAAACACTGACATACTAAAGTTGGTATAGTAGTCATTTAATGTTCCATCATTGCTGTAGCCATACTTGTACACCATACGTGGTATAAACTCCGACGTGAACGCAATAATTGCAGCCTGTAATCGTACAGTATATGAATTTTCCATTAAATAAAATCTAAATAATTTCATCTTTTTATTAAAAAAATCTGTCAATCTATATAATTATATACAATGTATATAAATGAAATTGATCACATATTCAAAATGTCATGATAAACAAATATATTCATGCTATTCTGGATGTGTTATTTTCTGACAATTTCATAGTAATTAGTTACATTTATCAATAGCTAGATAAACCTGAAAAAAACTAGTACGAAAGCCCCTTTAAATAGGTCTGAAAAAGCACCCCCCTAATAACAGTTACGAGTTCTGTTTTAAGGCATCAATGCCAAAGGTATCCCATAAAAGAAGACTATACACATATATTATAAAATACTTACATTTGAAATAACAGCAATAGCTGAAATACCCTGTAGAATTCCAAACCATACACCTGCAATATATTTAACATTGTTAAAAAACATATACTGAAGATTTACAGTTCATGAAATAAAATCTATAAATTATTGGCCTAAATGTAGCTTTTTTTCCAAATTAATTTAAAACAAATCATGTTCTGATTTTCTATGTTTTACTTTATATGAAAATGAAAACTAATTTTAATACAAAGATTTAGTTGTCAAATATAGTTAACACGCAATAAGCAGATACTTTAAGATGATGAGTTACGTTATATACAGTTTTTACAACTCCTAGTTAAATAGAATACTTATTTTTTTCCTCAATTTGAGTGTATAATTTGCATAAAACTTTACTATAATAAGTGCTCTGTCAATTTCGTATTCAGAGGAAAGGCAGCAAAGTGGTTCCAAACCCAGCAAACATGGGCTTAAACCCTACTTAAACCCAACAACCATGTGACACCTGCAGTGTTATATCCAGATAAATCCAACTCTAGAATGGTTCAAATAATTTTGATGCTTCCATTACAATCTAGATAAAATAAGTATGTTTAAACTAACCAATATTTGAATTTCCCCACACAAAAAAAAAACCAACAACAAACAATAACAACAAATAACAACAACAACAAGGAACAAACCAATGTCCTGCGCCCTTGTAGCCAGTGGTCTCTTCCATTGTGTAATGAACTTATAAGCATCAAGTCTTATCTCAATGATGTTGTTGATCAAAGCACAGAGGGGGGCAAGGGGAAATGCCGCCACAAAGATCGTGACAAATCCAAACTGTATCACTGAAATAAATAAATATCATTCAGACACTTATCCAAGACACCTTCTAAAGTTGTGAGTTTATACAGTCAACTATAATGATCTTGAGATTGCTTTTCCTGATTTTTCGTTATTTCAATCAAATTTTGAAAGGTCCTGATTTTTTTCTTTCTTTATCTATATAGAAAGGTAGTGGGGTTATATTCACAGATTAATGTTACACTCTGTAAAAAGAGTCACATTTTGAGATTATTGTAGTACAATGTACTCTCATTGACACTGTATAGGTAATATGGAGGCTTTCCAGCTTTACCAAAGGAGAAAGACACCAACCAGGTACCCCATCATGCCTAATTTCTGGAATGCCTTGGCACCTGAGTAGAACTACTGAGCTTTTGTAAGGTTATAAGGATCTTACATTGGTTTCCAGTACAGACCATAATATCTAGCTCACAGGTAACTGTTTAAGGCAGAAACGAGGCCCTGCCAAGTTTCAACTAAACAGTTCCCAGACAGCTAGTTATTCTGGTCTGTTACGATAGCGTGTGGTTGATTTTTTTCTTGCATATAACGCATAACTGGTAATCATTTAAGGTTTTCTAGCAACAGTCTAAACAGTAGTTACTCCTATCTCATGCAAGAAAGTTGAATATTACAAAGCAGAGTTATACTGCCTTGTATCACCCTTCACTTTATTCCCCTATTAAACATACATGACAGTCAAGTCAATTTAATATATTAACTCTATATGAAATGATCCCTCATGTAAGAGTTTGTATGTTTGTAATAATCACTTACCCATTTCTAGATATTCATCAAAGAGTCCAAGTTTTGGTTGATCAGCAAGGTTATAATCTTGTTCCCAGTGAGTATAAACTTTGTCTTCCTTGTCCTTACCAATACTTCGAGACTTAAACCATACCATCACCTTACTATAAATAGACACATTTATATATTATTTGTGTACCACAACCATTAAATAACTGCTTTCTTTTACACTGATTTACTGTTTAAGTGGTTAAGTTAGCGACGCGGAAATATTGGCGAACTTTGCGAATTGACGAAAAGCGTAACTATCAAGCAACCCGTCATTAAATTCTACCCTCACACAATTCACTAATATTTCCCAACGTGAAATGTCTGGAATTTTATATTTGCTTACTTTTCGACACGCAGAAATATCTGCTTATACAGTACATTGAAGAATCATGACATGTATATCATTTTAGATATTATCACATTTATTGTTTTTTGTTCGTTTTTCTGTTTTTTAACGCCGGTTTGAACACATTTGATGTCATATCCCAGCAGTCGATCCACATGATCGACTTTCATGGAAACTAACCAGTAATTACCAATTTCTCCGCAATGACTGACTTCTAATGCTTCATGATTTCTAAATCAGCAATAAGCATAAGATTCAATGTTTGTGACCACTGATCTCAGACATTGATTAGTTATGCACGAAAGCCAGTTAGCTGGTACTGTCAAGTTCATTTTAATATTGAGAGTAGAATATGGCTTGTATATGTTAACAATAGTAGACCATTCTTTAATACAGTATATGAGAATGTGTTAAGAAGCTGAGGGCATTCACAGGTTTCTACATTCAGTTTTAAGTAAAATTCATAACAAATATACATGTATAACACGGAGAATGAGTGATCTAAAGACAGTGGCCTACACCACTCAACTATAAAAGTCTGCCATTACTTTTTGGTTTGCTTTACATAACAATGACACAATATAGGTCATATGGCCACTTTCCAAAATAACTGGTGGAGGAAGAACTCATGTACTCTTCAGTACATTATTTCAGACTAAAACAGCACCTGAGTAGAACCACTGTCTTTCCATAGACTAGCTTGACAGCTTCCTTGAAAGAATCCAAAGTTCCTGTTGGAATTCGAAGAGTTTTGAAGTCAATAACCATAACACCTGCCAATAAACAATTTCCTATTTAGGTTGTCAATGACTAACACAGTTACATTATATATACTGAACCAAAAAAGAAACTTTCGCAAAGTATGTGCCAGTTGTTCAAGGGTACCACTTAGATGTACACACTTATATACATGTAGTAGCTTGTAAAACTCGTTTTGTTTGCAAAATCGGTCAGATAATCCCCGTATGAAAGCCTGATATGTTTATTCAACGTAAAAATCGAGTTTCAAAAGGATTGAAAAACTGTACTAACATATCTACATTCAAACTTGGAGAAAGTTTCTTTTCTGTTTCAGTATATAACATGTATAAGCAAATGAACAGAAACGTAAAATTTGTACTTACGGTAAAATAATCTCCTTGAAGTTAGCAAAGATTTGTTTACCAACCATAATAATACCAAGTTGTATACATAACTCAATAAGACAGCCAGCAGGATCACACTGAAAGAGTATTAAATGCTTGGTATACAAGAATGCTTGGTAAAGAAGTAATTCCCTACAATAAATCATAGAGACGGAATCCCTAAAGACCCTAAATTCTGCTAACAAAACAGCAGAATTGAAATGCTTCAAGCTCTGTTTAATCCTTTCATGGACATAAGTGTTAAGTTCAAGATTCTGTCCACCCCCCAAAGCACCGGCTTAAGCAGAATTCAACATTTAAAAATGAAATGGTGAAATTTTGAATTTAGAAGCATCTGCATATGTTAATCATAAATTATAAAGTATGAATTTCTGAGTTACTTGTACACTTCTACACATCGGGCATCCTTGCATTATAGGGAAATTTAATATTTTAAGTTTTATGTGAACAAAAAAAACTGACCTTTTTATCATGGCTATCTTTTAAGTTTCATGTGAAAAAATTAACCTTGTTACATGGCTATCATAATTGGACATAAATATTCTACAGTTACATTATAAAGGGTATTTGTGCAAGATTTTATTAAAATATTTCATCAACTTACTTCCTCCTGGCGGAAACCAAATAAGTTACGGTCATAGTCTCCTGGTCTACCAACAAACCTGAAAAACATAATTCATAGTCTTAATAATCATCATCCTTGTACAGTCTTCCGCTATATAACATTCAAATAACCAGAAAACTGTTGAACCATAAAAACATGACCTTCTGATATCAAGATTTAAGACATTATTATTTTTTAGAAAGATTATCTTTTAAAGAAATAATACAATTGTCCCTCTCTCAACTGACCTTAAAAGAATTGTTTTTGTTGTCATTGTCAAATTGAATGCTGGATGTGCTCATTTCTCAATAAACAAGTTCAATACTGAATCTTAGAAGATCACATTTTCTTTCTTTTTATCCTTATTGAGAAAGCTATGTCTAACACAAGGGCCATGATAGGCCTTTAAAGTGACATTATGCTCATTTTTTCAATGCCAAGTTGTGCTGAAATGACTATATATTACAAAAGATTGACAGTTTTAATGGTGATTGAGGAGCACTTGATATTGGAAAAAATGTTTAAAATAAAATATCAATCTGCAATAACAATAAAAAGACTGCCCCACTGTTTTTATGAATTGAAATATTCAGGTCAATTTTGATGGATAGTTACAGAAATTTTCTTGAACAACACGAGTCATTTGCCGTTCATGCGAAGTAAATTACAAAATTGAAGGCAATTATGGCAAAATGCAAACTTATTTTGACTTTCACCTGTTCCTTTGGGTGGGCATAATGTCTTTAATCTCTGATGACTGTGATTAACAATCATCTAATACTTTGCATGAAGAAACTTTATAACATACACTTGACTGTTATCAAATCTATCCGCTTATTCTGGCACTTTGTGTCAGGTGAATAAAAAAATTGTTGTTAACAAAGACTAGGAAATTATTTGCATTGAAACTGCAAATGCTATACAATGTTTGTTCATCAACAGACCTGCCCTTGAAGAAAGCTATGTAGATAATGGAAGCATAGTAGTTGACAAATTGGAAGAGGAACATTTTGAAGGTAAAGGCATCTTCCCATTCCGATTCTGTACGATGTTGTTCTGAAATAATAAACAAACAAAAAATATCAAAATTTAAGATATAGCAAAATTATTATTACTCTAAGGGCACTAATATTCGTGGTTATTGTTGATAGGTCAATTTATGAATTTAGGATCAAACGAAATATGAGCCACGTCATGACAAAACCAACGTAATCCGCGCAGTCTGATCAGGATCCATGCTGTTCGCTATTATTTTCTTTACTTGTAAAAGGGTTGGTAAGCGAATAGTATGGATCCTGTCAACAATCAAAACACAATAAATATGTGTGAAAAACTTTATTTCCCAAACTGTTTTTAGCTTTTGCAAATGAAGTTAAGTATACATGTGATGCTTATTATCCAATAAATTCGATAGCACAAAGCAACGTTTTAATATTTTACCTTTTGAAAAAATAAACAGGTCCACAAATTTAAGTACCCACAATAATATTCTTTGAGACAAAACCAATTTACAGTACTTAGCAGTCTCCTAATACTGGTTGGCTCATTAACTTTTGTCAAATACCTTTGCCAGTTATACAACTTTGTAAAAATGGCAATTCACGGATGACATGTAATACTTACCTAATTCTGTCAGTGCCTCAGCAATCCTTTGATAGATCTAAAAAAAAATGCAAAAAAAATATGTTTAAACAAACATCAAAGTTAAAAATGTACAAAAATATTTCTTTTTTCTTACAACATTGATTTTCTTAGTATTATGTACTTTGAGCGCCCTCTATTTCTTTTATACTCCCTAACAACTCTATACTAGTTATTTCAATATATAATAACATAAACAAATAATGTCCTAAGTCTAAAGCCAAACAACAAATATATGATAACTTGATAAGACGATTAGAATTGTATCTCTTAAATAAATACGTACAAAGTTGAGTAGGAAAATGATGACCAAGTTGATACATGCTGCAGTTGCCGAGGCTATCAGACCAGCTCGACCTTTCACATCATCTTGACCGGTCCGTGATAGAACAGCTGCTATCACTATCCTGTAGATGATCACACCAACCACAGCAACCAACACAATTGCCATCTTAAATATAGATAAAATATTAGTACAATAGTTATATATAGGCAAATGTGACATGTTAGTCCACTGTCACTCCTCCTCGGTCACTAATCCTCGATCATTTATCCTTTATCACTTATTCTCAGTCTCACAGTCTCATTCACATATCCTCAATCATACATCCTTATTAACATATCCTCAGTCACTCATCTTCATTAACATATCCTCACTCCTTAGTCACTAATCCTCTATTATTTAACCTTTATCATTTATCCTCAGTCTCACAGCCTCATTCATTTATAATCAGTCACTTATAATCCTCATTAACATATCCTCAATTAGACAGCCTCAGTCACACATCCACATTAACATATCCTCAATATTAAATCCTCAGCCATACATCCTCATTAACATATCCTCAATCACTCATCCTCACTTACATATCCTAAATCACTCATGCTCAATCACACTTCCTCACTCAAATATCCTTAGTTACTCATCCTCAATCACACTTCCTCACTAACATATCCTCAGTAACTCATGCTCAATCACACTTCCTCACTTATATATCTTTTGCCACTTATTTTCAGTCTCATACCTTATTCCTAAGTGCCTCATTCACACTTATTCATTTTGGGACACACAATCTGGGTCAAATATCCTCACTCATTAATTCTCAGCTAAACTCCCTCAGTAAATCACCAGAATCATATAATCTTCAATCACTTATTTTTAGATATATACTTTCAGTCACTCACTCTAAGTCACAAATCATCAGTAATTCATCCTCAGTCCCACATTCCCAGTCATTCATTAAGAATGATCAAAACTGAAAGACCATTTTTTTTTCTAAAATTAAAGAGATAACAAAATTCATTACTACTCTTTCACTGTTAATAAATATACACATGTACAGTCTAACCTGTGAAAAAGGCCATCCAAAAGAGAGACCACATTTGGACTAGAAAGACAACTGGTCTTGATTTAGTTTACTTTGTTGTATTTTCAACAATGATGGTTTGTGAAAGAAAGGTCTTTATCAAAAGGTTTGTCTTTTTTTTGGAGGTGGTCTTTATTATAGACTTTACTGTACATTGAATCATGCACTTGATTTTTTATATTTGCAAGTCATGGTACTATGGATATAAAAGATATAAGTAGGGCACTTACAAAGAAGAGCAATATGGAAACTGTGGTACCATATCTACAACATTTACTCCAGTTAGGTACATATGGCTCCAACCTCTGAAATCACATACAAATATACATGTACACATTAACCACAAGTCTTCAAGTAATTCAAGTCTGACTAGGCCCTTTACTGTTGTTACTCATTTTTTTTTTTGTATTTTGCTATTAAAATGCTTTAATTTATGAATGGAATGTCCCAAATTCAAATCAGGGCAAGTCCATTACAAAAATTCAGCAGTTTAAGGGTTTAAATCACGGAATGCCACATCTGTGATAATGTCTTTCCTATGGCACTTATATAGAGCCAGGCCACACTGTCATATACCTCCATGTACAGTGACCAGGCTCTACACCATTGGCTGCTTAGTTTTAGCTTTATAGCAGTAACAATTGACAATCCAAAATTTAAGGGTTACATAAAACAAATCTATTATGGTAAAGAGTAAAAATTCATACATTGCAAATATATACATTTATGTTATAAGTTATAACAATGTCATACTTTTTTTTGTGTGTGGAAGAACTCTTTCATTGAAAATATATATTTTAAGAATAAGACATGTGTAAGTTCACCTTATTGATTGGATTTTCTCTTTTCCTTCTAACTCTGTTCTCAAACTCTGGTCTCACAGTTTCCTGTAATATATATATGTAACTACAGTTAGGATTTTCCAATTCAGCAGAAGACAGCAATTTATGTATAAAACAATAGTAACATAGTCAGAATACTGGCTGCCATGGCTCTGAAACTATCTTCAGTTCAGGGAAAATTAGATCTCATTTATTACATTATTATATACTCCTTAAAAATGTACTATAATATATGAAAGAATTAATACTACAGAATTCCTAACAAATAAAAATCCATGGTACATGTATATAACTTCTAAAACTAACTTAATTTTCTCCTTTTCAACATTTTACATGTACGAAAAAAAAACATGACCCAAACAAGAGGGCCATGATGGCCCTGAGGTCGCTCACCTGTATATAGGCCCCCCAACCCCCCCCCCCCCAACGTTGCAGAGCCAATTTAACCCAAGGGCTTTTATTTGCACAAACTTGGTAGACACCCATAAGAAGATGTTTCATGCTAAACATTTAAGCTCTAGCTCATTGGGCTTTTTAAAAGAAGATTTTTTTTAAAGTTTTTACTATACACATATAGTTAAAAACAATGACACCCCTGGGGCCGGGCAAGTTTTGACCCAGGGCTTTTTATTTTATTTCAACTCTAGCTATTTGGGTTTTTTCAAAGAAGATTTAAAGTTTTTGCTAAACACATATAAAGAAAATCAATGACCCGGGGCGGGGCCAATTTTGACCCCTGGGCTTGTATTGAACAAACTTGGTAGACACCTATTAGAACATGTTTGATGCTCAATATCTTGGCCATAGCTCTTTGAGTTTTTAAAAGAAGATTTTTTAAGTTTTTACTATATGCATATAGGGAAAATCAATGACCCCGGGGCGGGGCCAATTTTCACCCCAGGGCTTTTATTTGAACAAACTTGGTAGACACCCATTAGAACATGTTTCATGCTAAATATCTTAGCTCTAGCTCTTTGGGTTCTTTAAAAGAAGATTTTTAAGTTTTTACTATATGCATATAGGGAAAATCAATGACCCCCAGGGGCGGGGCCAATTTTGACCCCAGGGCTTTTATTTGAACAAACTTGGTAGACACACACTAGAAGATGTTTCATGCCAAATATCTAAGCTCTAGCTCTTTGAGTTCTTTAAAAGAAGATTTTTAAGTTTTTACTATATGCATATAGGGAAAATCAATGACCCCCGGGGCGGGGCCAATTTTCACCCTAGGGCTTTTATTTGAACAAACTTGGTAGACACCCATTAGAACATGTTTCATTCTAAATATCTTAGCTCTAGCTCTTTGGGTTCTTTAAAAGAAGATTTTTTAAGTTTTTACTATATGCATATAGGGAAAATCAATGACCCCCCGGGGCGGGGCCAATTTTGACCCCAGGGCTTTTATTTGAACAAACTTGGTAGACACTCACTAGAAGATGTTTCATGCCAAATATCTAAGCTCTAGCTCTTTGAGTTCTTTAAAAGAAGATTTTTTAAGTTTTTACTATATGCATATAGGGAAAATCAATGACCCCCCGGGGCGGGGCCAATTTTCACCCCAGGGCTTTTATTTGAACAAACTTGGTAGACACCCATTAGAACATGTTTCATGCTAAATATCTTAGCTCTAGCTCTTTGGGTTCTTTAAAAGAAGATTTTTTAAGTTTTTACTATATGCATATAGGGAAAATCAATGACCCCCCGGGCGGGGCCAATTTTGACCCCAGGGCTTTTATTTGAACAAACTTGGTAGACACTCACTAGAAGATGTTTCATGCCAAATATCTAAGCTCTAGCTCTTATGGTTTTTTAAAAGAAGATATTTAAAGTTTTTTCTTTCGGTTGCCATGGCAACCAGAGTTTTGCATGGAATTAAATTCTTTGAACAATTTTTAAAGGTGACCACCAAAGGAACATTCCTGTGAAGTTTGGATGAAATTGGCTCAGTGGTTTATGAGGAGATGTCATTTAAAGTAAAAGTTTACGGACGGACGGACGGACGGACGACGGACGGACGGACGCCGGACGAAAAGCGATCACAAAAGCTCACCCTGTCACTTTGTGACAGGTGAGCTAAAAAACCCCAACATTATTTAAAGGAACTCCATTGAGGTTCAAAAGCAAAAAAAAATGAATTTCAAATTCTTACATACATACCCAGTAAACTTGGGACTCAAAATGGGAAATGTGCAAAAGATAATAAAGAAATATTCTCAGAATTAAATCGAAAAATTAATTTTTGTGCCATTCTTTATCCAATTTTAGTTAAATGTATTAAACCCATCATTATTTTGGGGCCATTTTGCATAAATAAAATAATTACTCTAGAAAATGGACTGAGCAAATGATCTTAAATTTTGCAAACAAGGTATTGGTAAAATATTAAACAAATCTAAAAACAAACCCTTAAAACCTTCCAGTCCCGTCATGTTAAACACCCACAATGGTGCTCCTTTAAGTCAAATGTTACATATAATTCAACAAACCTTTACTAAAATACTGGTATTTAAAGAAAATGTGATTGATCCAGATGGTAATGATAAAAGAGGTTACATAATAATAGCAAACACAAAATATCTTTATATAAAAAGTACAATCAAAACAATGACAAAAGGCAATTCATTTTTAAATATAAAGAATGTTCCAGGAAAGATTAATGAAATAATGTAAGCAACAAAAAACATGATAAATTGCTTGATAAACTGACATATCAAAATAACCATTAGCATAAATGAATGATTACCATATACCCAACATATCTTAAATATCAATATTAACATACGTCTGGAACTTAAATTATCATTTTAACTCCCAACATACATGCAACTTCTTAAAGATTCAATAAATTAAACACAGGATGCTAGTAATTAAATGAAACAAACTTAAGTTAATGTAATTGCAACAGCAGCTTGGTACAAATTATTAAATCAACAATTAAGATTTGTTTGTTTGTTTGTTTCATTTTACGCCTTTTCCCAACAGTATTTCAGTCATATAGGCGGGTAGTTTCCTAACCATCGTTCCTGGAGAGTTACACCAGTACTAAACTATCTTCCTCCGTGCTAAACTACCATCAAACCCACGCCAGAGAGGTAACTGGATTAGAAGTCATCGACTCTAACCCCTCGACCACAAAGGCGTTAAACAATTAAGAAAAGTTTATACAATTTATACAATTTCTACTTGAATCATAGACTCATCATGAGTAAATATGTCATTACAATGGAAAATTTCCAACCTGTTATCTAAAATACTTGCAACATATGACGACTAGGTTGGCATTAAGATTGACCAGGAAAAAAATCTGCTTGCCCTTGACTGATTGATTAATTCACTGATTATCAGATTGATTGATAAATTATCTGATTGATTGATCAACTGATTGATTATTGATTATCTTTCAGTCTTTACAATTATAACTTTATATACACTTTATAATTACAAATCTGTTCATTGTTTAGAAACTACTGAACTGTTAACAATTTTTGTACAGAACTCGTTGTTAAGACTTAAGTAAGTGAGTGGCAGCGTGACTGAGTGGTTAACAAGTCCTACTAGTAATCCATGGATTGCTGATCACGTGGGCTCAAACCCTGTCAAGAGCAAGCCGTTGTTTCATTGAGCGAGGATCTTTACATTTTTATTTAGTACTGGTTGGTTCAAGAAACGGATTCAAGAGTGTTTCAAAAGGCTTATAGCTTCCAACAAAATCAAACTTTAATAAATTTGTATAAACTTAGGTTCCAGAAATGTATTCAAGAGTGTTTCAAAAGGCTTATAGCTTCTAACACAATCAAACTTAAATAAATTTGTATAAACTAATGTTAGGATTAGTTTCAATCATTAATCTCATATTGTTACAATGTATCATCCTTCTTTAAACCTAAAAAAATTAACGTTAAGCATTAACATTCAACTACAGAAAAAGCCGATCGATTACACAATTGGCATGCAAAGTTATTCTTGCACCAACACAGAAGCTAAAAGTTAACAACAAATACAGTCAATCTCTTTCCCATCATTAAATACATTAATGCAGAGAAATGCAAAACATTAATTAAGCATAAACAAAATGTATTTCAACTATACAAAAAACTGATTAAAATCATCTAAAGCCTATTTCTTAAATTTTCAAGAACTGGCCCAGCTCTCACTAACATTCTCGAAATAACAATCTCAACTAAAACCTGAGATTATTCTCAACTCAGAAACAGAGACTGAGATTGTTCTCAGTTCGGCTTTCACTAACATTCTCTTTGACAAATCTTAAATTTAAGACTTGAGATTTTTTTTCAGATATATGAAGACAAGGGTTTGGCTGAAACACGACCCCAGTAGATCTTGATCTCTCGGCTGAATAGTAATCTCTTAAATTTTATCAATAAACTATGTTATTCTTTATAAATATGTTCTTACTACCAAGAACATGTCACTAAATGGCATCCCAGCATAGTTAGTTCATGATGCCAAATCCTAAAATATTGACTAAGTATTGTTCTGATGCTTACTTGCTTACTTGCAAAAACAAATTTGTAAATTAAATTTTCAAAGATAAATAAGCTACAAAAGAAAGTCATAGTTTAATAGTCTTGTGCTACAAGCATGCATCAAGTCTGAAAGCATCTTATATGGAAGCTTCAAAGAAAATGTTCACAAATCGTTGTTTTGACCACAAGACTGCAGTAACTTGTAAGAAATAAAAATAAGACTTACAACAGTTTTACAGTTAACTGTCAAGATGAGCAAAATAAAACAATATCTGTAAGGCAGGGTTATGTATTTTTGATCTTGTTGGCCTTGTAGGTCAACTCCTAGAGTTTGGTCATAACTTGGGTGTATTCATAATTGAATCTTAATGCCATAATATGTTGTATGACATGATATAATTCTAGTCTAACTTTTACCAAAATATAACTAACAATTTTAAGCATATGAACTGTAAAATAGTCAATTGTAACACCAACTCCCTCGACCCCTGTTAATAGTAAGAACTTTTAACTTTTGCATTATGTAACGCCCTGTGGATTCCCTGCAAAATGTATAAGCACGTAAAATCATTGCTCAATGCCAATACATGGTCGATCGGCCATATCCCTGCTATTCTAGGGCCATAACAAAAACAAAAAAAAATAATTGACTGGACAGAGCTGGTATAGACGAAATAAAAAAACTTGACTTATTTCCTGTGCACTCCCAACTTGGTGGGCGAATTTCAGTTACAATTGACTAAAGCATCATGGACGAAGCAAAATTAATGTCGCTCCAAAAATCAGCATGGATTAAATACTCAAAACTAAATAACACTAGTAAAAGTACATATAAATGTTACAACAAGATGCGAGAAAAAGACATGCATAAAAATACTTAAAAACTTTCACTTACACTGGCCATCTACCAAAGTGTAGGAAATTCACATAAACAAAAAAATAAATTAATTAGAAAGATGAAAAAACAACATTATCTTTAAAGTGTCTAATAAAAAAAAATATCATCCCTGTACTTCAAAAATTAGCAGAGAAATAAAAGCAACAAGAAAAACATTAACATTGGTGAAAATCTGACAAAAAGAAAATCTGAATCCAAAGAAATGTTTACTTGAAACATGACATTTAAAATGTAAGAACTGTGCTACTTGACATGCTTAAATAATAATATTTTACCAATAAAGAAAAACAAAAATACATATACATGTAGTTTAAAGGCCTGCTATGTGCATAATTATGACTGCTTGTGAATACAACGTTTTTACATTATAAAATCAGTATTATTTCAGCTAGCAAAATTAAATGGATAAATTATCGACTGTCAAAAGATGCGTGTAGATATCTACAACTCTTTACGTTAAATGAATACATGTACAGCAAAATCATTATTATTCGTGGGGCACTTATATTCATAGTTTTTGTAGATCGACCTATTTAAGATCCATCAAAATTTCATTTCATCTGTTGTAAGATTATTTTGTATCACATTATTTACTTTTTAACTGTTGGAAAATAAACAGTTCATGAATGAAAGTACCCAGGAAAATGTTCTTTGTGACAAAACCATAAAAATTTAATGCCAACGAAATTAAGTGAATTTACAGTAACATAAATACACGTAGTTACAACTAGTCATTATCATCAGGCTCTTCTAAAAATATTTTAAATCTTCTGTAAACTTTGAACAAAATACGACTTCCATTATCTTCAGAATAAATTTCACTGCCATTACCTGTAGAATTTATCTAAATCACATGAAACAATTGCTCATTTGAAAAGTTTAGGGAGGTGTCTCAACTATTGGCCGGGAAATGTCATTTCACCCATGGCCATACCATGTGGTAAATGAAATTATTTTTACCGTCTCCAAAACAGCAATCTTTACCTTCATATACAGAAGAATAAACTGCTATAAATATTTCATCAGTTGTAATGAGATATGGTGCATGCTTAATGGAAAATTGTTTTCTACTAAAGGTCCTAAAAATTCTTTTATCAGACCTAAATTATATCTTAACAATCGGGAAAACTGCCACAGATCGTAAACTAAGTTTGCTTTCATGAAAAACACATAAACTTTGAAGGTACTCCTAATAGTCAGGAAATACATTTAAAATCTGGCAAAATAATCACCTATAATAATCACCTATATGTTAAGTTTTCAAATGGCATGCACTTTATCCCATTAAATATTGACAAAATTAAAATATTAACTGCAGTTTCCTCATACATATCAAGGTAAAATACGATGCTTCAGAAAGACTAAAAATAACATCATGTGCTATGTGGTATGGCCACAATGGATCAGTTTAGATAATATGAGCCGCGTCATGACAAAACCAACGTAATGGGTTTGCGACCAGCATAGATCCAGACCAGCCTGGGCATTCGCGCAGTCTGATCAGGATCCATGCTGTTCGCCTTCAAACCCTATTACAAGTAAAGAAACTGATAGCGAACAGCATGGATCCTGATCAGACTGCGCGGATGCGCAGGCTGGTCTGGATCCATGCTGGTCGCAAACCCACTATGTTGGTTTTGTCATGACGCGGCTCATATAAGATACATTATATAATATTACCTCCTCCATCTCGAAGTCTGCCGTGTCCCAGTCATACTCTATCTCATTCTGCTTACGTTTCCAAAAGTCGTGGAAAAATGATGCTAAAAATAAGTACAATATAACCACATGTTACTCTAAAACTTACAATACATATATGAACCCTTACCACACTTAATATCTTAAATGGAGTTGTCCATCTTACAACATGGACAAAACCATTCAGCCTTTTTAGGGTATGTTTTAAAAATAAGGTCTGACTGAATGGCAAAAGTGCAGACCATGATTAAATGTCTAACTGATTCTACCCACGCAACAAGTGCGGAAAAGATCAGGCACATGGTCTGAATTGTCACTATGCAGTTGGTGCATTTAAGTTAATCCTAAAACTGACAAATGGTTTTGTCCAGATTGAAAGATGGAAGATTCCACTTACGATATTTAATATGATAAAGGTGAAAGGAGGTCTATACGAAATTTATTGAGCTAGAAAATGCTGAAAAATAGAAGTCATTTTGTGATACGGACTTAAACAACTATTATTCTTTTATATGTGGTTAATGATTTTTGTAGCGTAATTTAGAGAAGTATATAATGGTTAAATTATACCAACAGATAACAAAATAATGTGATATACAACCAATTGAAGTAGAGATGACAAAAAAACACCTACCCCATAAAGCCATGAAGCATGCAAACGCCACAGTAGCTGGATTATCAAACAGATACGTAGCTCGAGAATACGAACAACTTTCTTGCAGTCGCCAGTACGTACACCGGTTGTCACACAACGGACACATTGTAAAATTACCAGCTTTATTTACATCACAGATCTCATTGCTGCAACACAAAATAACAATAAATGAGCGGCGCCATGACAAAACCAACATAATGCGTTTGCGACCAGCATGGATCCAGATCAGCCTGCATATCCGCGCAGTCTGATCAGGATCCATGCTGTTCGCTATCAGTTTCTCGTTTGTAAGCGAACAGGATGGATCCTGATCAAACTGCGTGGATGTACAGGCTGATCTGGATCCATGCTGGTCGCAAACGCATTATGTTGGTTTTGTCACGGCGCGGCTCATTAATGTACATGTAAGAAATGATTTCATAGACCTGTTATGTTGTGTTAGTTTTTATTGTATTTTGACAGACTTGACATTCTTATCATGTAACAATGAAATTTTGTTTTGCGACAGATGCTTAATCAATTAAATACAGTCATGTAACAGCATTTTCGAGGATATGACTTTTTTTAATATTGCACTTGTACATGAACATTTCATTGGTCAGAACATTCAAAATATAAGAATTATATTGTATTAAAAACGATGCAACTAAGGTATGGTCCCCAATACGGTTTTAACACAATCAATATTTACAGAAATATTTGATATACAATGTTTTGCAAGGAGACTCAGGTGTCTCTGTTTGTATAAGGTAAATGGGCACTGAGTAAGCCGTACTTCAGTAAGCTAATGATAGCTTTCACATGTAGAATCAAAGCTATGGCTAGATTTGAATAACAGGGACAGGCGACAGGTTTGATGTAGGACCATAACAACTCTGCCATACAGTTTTAATAGAGTGATAAACTTCTGTTTCAAAATATCCATTTAGCCAAAACTCTTTTAAAGAGGAGGCATCAACTCTTGAATTAAACAGTCAATTTTCATTTCAGAAGTTTCAGTTCCTTGTGAAAGTAAAACAACTAGTTATATTTGCCATGTTTTAAGCCTATTGTTGCCAAGGCAACTGATATTTTTTCAAAATAGGAAGAACAGATAAAACATGCATAATCTCAACACTGCTATCTACCCATATGTCAAGTTTCATAAAAATATTTCCAGTACTTTTTGAGTTATCACTGGATTCAGTGTATGTGTAAAATTTGCCATATTTTCAGTCTATGTGTTGCCATAGCAACCAGAATTTTCAACATAGGAAGAAAAGAAAAAGACTTGCATAATCTCAACACTGCTATCTATCCATATATCAAGTTTCATAAAAATATTTCCAGTACTTTTTGCTTTATCACTGGATCCAGTTTATGTGTAAAATTTGCCATATTTTCAGCCTATTTGTTGCCATAGCAACCAGAATTTTCAACATAGGAAGAAAAAAAAAAAGACGTGCATAATCTCCATACTTGCCATCTATTCATATACCAAGTTCATAAAAATATTTTCAGTACTTTTCAAGTTATCGCGGGATCCAGTTTTGTGGACGGACGGACTGACGGACAGACACGACGGACGGAGGGTAAACCTAAAGTCCCCTCCGGTAAACCGGTAGGGGGGTGGGGACTAATAATGATGACTACTCTGTCATTAAAAAGACGACTGCAAACTAAAGGTATGTGTCCCCAATAAAAGTATAAATTTTAACAAATAAATAATTTACAGAAATATTTGTTGATAAAAAACTGCTTTTCGGCCCAAGGAGAACTACAGGTGTCCCTCTGTTTGTATTAAGGTACAAATGGGCACCTGAGTACAGCCGTCAAACTTCAGTAAGCTAACTGGATAGCTTCTACACAATGTTACCTACAGACCTATTGGCATAGAGTTGATTATACAAAGTGGAAGGGGAAGGCGTTGCTTCAGTTGAGGTGAGATAAAACTCTGCCATACAGGTTCCTTACATAGAGTGACATAACTGTTATGTTGTCAAAATATCCATTTAGCTCAATAGGTAGATTGCTGGACTGTGAATTGGGTGACCCAAGTGCGATTTCCGGACCGTGCAGGTCACTTTCGTTGTGACTGATCATGAAATCCTTTTTACAGTCAATCTGCTCTGCCATGTACAGAAGTTTCAGTTCCTTGTGAAAGTAAAGACAACTAGTACTGGTTAACTGCTAGACAGCTTGCCCAGGTATGGTGCGGTGGCTGAACTGTGCACTGGTAAATTCAATGTGGCTTACTGCCATGATCCCCGAGTGAAAACTACCAATACCACCACCACTATATAATACCTATATTATTTATGTATAACAATATATTACTAACGAGATAGTATCATCCAACAGAGTTGCACATCCGTAGATAAACGCCACCAAACCCACAATGGAAGCTGGTACCAACATGGTTGTGTAGAATCCAAGCCATGCAAAATATATACCAATCTTCTCACCAAAATAGTCCCTAAAAAACAAAAAAAGTAGTTCGTATATATAATGAAAAATTCTTACATATATACAAAAAGCTTTTTCAATGAAGCACCATGATCTATATTTCTAACAGTTAGATAGTAAACTGGAAAATGTTGCAGGTTTGGTTTGATTGAGCCTATTTGTTGTTGTTGTTGGTCAGGAAGAACTATATCATAACATATATATTTTATATATGTATATTAGTACACATAGGTATTTTTGAAAATGGGGGGGGGGGATTTAATCCCACAGCGGGAGATTTTGTCCCCAGTGGGGGATATGTCATGTATAATTAGTATTTAATATTCAAAATGAAACTTAATTATTAGTGTTTTGCTTTTGCTACTAAGGTCATAAACTTTATGATTGACTTCATATTTGTCATCAGGCCCACGAATAGGCCTCCATAAAGTATCCTGTAGATGCAAGTGGCACACCACAGAGAGTAACGATAACAACTTAATAGGTGTATCTCTCAATTTCAACTTTGTACTATATATGTAACATTTTAATAATTATATAACAGGGTATTAAATTCTGTATAATTGACAAAAAAAATATTTAAAACACTGTAAAAACATTGTAAATGTCTTAAATACAATCTATATCAATATAAAATTGATTCTTAAAGAATTTATGATCTATTTTTATTAATTTTATTACCTCCCTTTAATTTTAAGGAAATAAATCCTTTGAATATCTTATTACCTCCCTTTAAAACACTACAATCTTAGTATATTTATAGTAACAAATTTAGTTGACTCTGGTAGCCTGGTAGGCTTTAACATGTTATATATAAAAAAAAAATGAACTCAACTTTCACCAGCATTTACCTACTAGACTCTACTTGTTTATTTGGCATAGGTTAGATTCATATTCATAATACTGTATTGGAGGGGAGGGGGGAAGGGGGGACTGCATAGCTCAATCAGTTAGAGCGTGAGAGTAGAATCTCCACATTGCGGGTTCGATTCCCGGGCAGGCCAACTAAAATTTCTAATCAGTCTTTCGGATGAGACTTTAAATCGAGGTGCCGTGTATGAGTGCTAAACACTTGGCACGTTAAAGAACCAGGGGAAGTTTCTGGAATTGGGGCATCTTTCTGTATCTGTATCTTGCACTATCCTCCAAAATATAAAAGGACTAATACTCTTCTGGAGGACTCGCCCTTCTCAGTTCCCCTCGGAGCGTGCGCGACGCTGAGAAGGCACAGGGCATCGGCAGAAGATTTACAGCTTGGCTGGTGGCTAACTTAAACTGAAGCCTCCGTGGGCGTTAAAGACGGAACCGCTACTTAGTCAACAACTGCGGACCAGCTGCCGGTGTCCTGACTAATGCCGAGGGGAGTGGCCTTACAAAGAAGGCGCTTGGGTCGACAAGAACGGTGTGCTAGGGTGCGGGAGCCCCTAGCACGGTTAGACGGCTTGAACGGCAGGCCTTTTCCTGGCACTAACAGCCCTTTTCAGGGCTAACCTTTCCTATTGTCACAGGTTACTGTACATTTAGGTTCTCATTGACCGCCGTACAGTGACCTACTTTTGGCTCAAAATTCATATCTTTGGCTAATACTCCGTGGAAATTGCATGGAGGTAAATTATCACCACTTTGTGCTTCAAAATTAACTCTTTAAGGACATGACTGGTGACATGTCCGGGGTCTGTACTCGACAGCGAAAGCTGCATTTTGTGCCCGAAAGGGCGGATAGACCCTCATTAAGCTTTAACTTCAATCAATGGAGGACTCGCCCATATGGGCAACCGGTGGCGAGTATAAATAAACTCAAATACACACACAATGTATTGGAGGTTCTTATAAATCTGCTGATGAAGAGATGTGAAAGACAATTTATCCTGACTTCTCTGAAGGATTGGGGCGTAATTTTCTCAGCGGAATGGTAAAGAGTGTCAAGTATGAAGTTAAGCTTTGTTAATGAAGCTCTATGCTCCACATTTCTTACAGCTTGATAGTCAACTGGAAAATGTTGCAGGTTGGGTTTAATCGAGCCTATCTTTTTGTTGTTGTTTTTGGTTTTTTGTCAGGAAGAACTGTATCATAACATATAATTATATTTTATACATGTAATTATAAGTACACATAGTTATTTTTGAGAATCTGGGAGGGAGGGGCGGATTTAATCCCACAGCTGGAGATCGTAGATTTTGTCCCCAGTAGGGGCTATGGCATGTATATTAGTATTTCATAACTATTGGTGTTTTTGTTTGCTACTAAAGTCACATACTTTATGATTGATATCATACATGGCCCATTCATTTACTTTGTCTAAGAAATAATATTAGGCCCATGAATTCAGAAGGCCACCATAAAGAATCCTGTAAATGCAAGATGCACATCAACAGGGGGAATAAAAAACTTTATAGGAGTAACTTTCAACTGCAACTATGTACTCTATATAAAACACTTTAATAATTGTATTACAGGATATTAAATTCTGTATAATTGACAAAAAAATATTTAAAACACTGTAAAAACATTGTAAATGTCTTAAATACAATCTATATCAATATAAAATTGATTCTTAAACAATTTATGATCTACTTTTATTAATTTTATTACCTCCCTTTAATTTTAAGGAAATACATTCTTTGAGTATCTTATTACCTCCCTTTAAAACACTACAAGAACCACTTGATTTTGTTAATCTTAGTATATTTATAGCAACAAATTTAGTTGACTGGCTATTCCATGTTATATATAAACTAGAACTATCACTAAATGTGATTAATACCCCCACAAGTCTGCTTCGGAAATGAGGATGTTACTAGTAACAGAATACCTTGTAAAAGAATTGAAACATAGAGTTATGGTTGTGGGCAATTAAAGATAATTGTGGTTCATGTATGTTGCATTTCCTTTCAATGTGGTTGGCCATTGATGAAGTTTAATTAAATTACTCTGTAATAAGTCCAGAAAGACAAAGAAAAAGAACAAAGGGCAATAACTCTACGAGGGTTGTTCAAAAAGTAATAGGACTGCAGCTCTACTGTTCACATTTTTTCATCTACGTACACGAGTTTACAAAAATCGAATATCGGAACTTGTCCTCTATATACAGTGAAAATATCAAAACAATATGTTTAAAAACAACAATGCTGTACAACTTACAAATGACAAGGGGTACGCGACCCGGCGCACGCTAATAGTTAAATAAATGACGTCGTAAAATAAATTCAAAATGTAAACAGTGTCATTCTTTCTGAAATTATTCTCCACAATGTTCTAGGTGCTTGAATCATGTAACTATAACCAGAACTCATCTGTGGAGATGTAGCGAAAAAAAGCAATCACATTTTCATTTCTTTATTCGAAACATGCCCGGTGGCCGGCAACTTTCGGTTTTATCTCGTGATTTTGAGTATTCTGGAAGCTAAACGGGCATGGACATATAATGTAAATGACAAAGTGATTTATATTATTTATTTACACATGCCATCTTACATTCTTAAAACAATATGATTATGTACAGTAAATTAAAAATGCTTATTAATTGAAAAATATTCTCTTCTTCTGAGCATAGGCTATCATTTATTAAACAAAATCGAGGAAAATTGAAACCAATAATTACTGCGTATCATCAAATTTATTCAATGATAACACACACACATATATATATCTAATAAAATGAAATAGTGTTTAGAACAAATTTCCCCTATTCAATAATTTTCTTAGAACTGAAACAGTAGACCCGATGCAAACATCAAACATGCCGGACAGTTCGCGGACTGTATATCGCCGATACTTTTGTAGCGCTATTGCAATTAACGTCTCTAACGTCCGTCAATTTTCCGCTTTCTCCCTAGCCCTTTCGTGTCTGTGATCTCATATTCACCGTCTTTGAACTGCTTTCCCCAGCTGAAAACGAGTGTCCTAATTGCCTAATTATTGTTCTGTAAAAATAAAATCTTTTCATACGAAGCTGAAGGAGTAGGGCCTATCTGTTGGCAAAATTTTATGATCGTACACATTTTAAGTTTTTCAACGAACGTCATTTTTCTACATTTAAGGCTAATATCACTGCTTTTCAAAACGTTATAGTTTAGCGATTTCTTGTCTGAATTAAGTCAAATTTGGATAACATGACACTTTAATACGATAAAATGTGTTGGTGAAATATTAGGGGGAACAGACAACATATTATGAATAAACTGAAAGTACAAATAAGCGTCAAAATATTTTTGATGCGCTGCGCCGGGTGCGTGTTACCATGGTTATTTAATATCACAGGGAACACGCGTTTAGTGCAATAATTCAATAAACTTATGCTGAAGTTGTAGAAAACAATTAACTATTGCCGTGGATATGAAAATAATTAAATTCTAATGGAATATGGAGACATCAGACTCTTAGTCCTATTACTTTTTGAACAACCCTCGTATAAATACTGAAGATAGAGTTATAGTTCTTGTGCACTGCACTTCCTCTTATTACGCTTGACCGTTGTATGAAGTTGTTTTGGATTCCAACCAGTACGTTTTAAGTTATGCTCCGGACAAGGAAAAGTATCAAAGGGCAGTAACTCTGTATTTTGTCAAAATGGAGTTATGGCTCTTGTGCACTGCACTTCCTTTGAATGTCCTTGACAACTGTATGAAGTTGTACTGAATTCCAAACAGTAGTTTTCAAGTTATGCTCTGGACAAGGAAAAGTAACAAAGGGCAATAAATAACTCTGTAATTAGTCAAGATGAAGTTATGGTTCTTGTGCACTGTACTTCCCCTTATTGTGCTTGACCATTGAATGAAGTTGTTTTGAATTCCAACCAGTAGTTTTCAAGTCATGCTCTGGACAAGGAAAAGTAACAAAGGGCAGTAACTCTGTAATTAGTCAAGATGGAGTTATGGTTCTTATGCACTGCACTTCCTCTCAATGTGCTTGACCATTGTATGAAGTTATAATGAATTCCAACAATAAGTTTTCCAGTTATGGTCCGGACAAAAGAAAGCAATGGAAAAGTAACAAAGGGCAATAACTCTG